GATTTTTTATCTGATTTGGTGCTAAATACTGATAAGGTCATTGTAGTGGGGGATTTCAACATTCATGTGGACATTGAAAATGGTAGCCTCAATGTAGCCTTTAGTAATATCCTAGACTCAATTGGTTTTACTCAAAGAATACATAGCTCCACCCACTCCTGCCATCATACATTGGACCTTGTTCTGACTTATGGCATTGAGTGTGAGGAAATAACAATCTTTCCACATAATCCAGTCCTCTCGAACCACTTTCTGATAACCTTTGAGTTTTTTATAACCGAGTTCTCGAGACATGAAAGTAAATTTTATTATAGTCGGTCTCTATCTGACAACGCAGTTGCGTCTTTTAAATCAACTGTTCCATCTTTACTGTCCTCAGCATCTCAGAGGCATGTAGCAGAGGGCAATATTTTCAGTTCTAACCCCTCACAAATTGATGCTTTAGTTCATCATGTTAATTCCTCTTTACGTGTGGCATTAGATGATGTTGCCCCTTTAAAAAAGAAGGTAATTAGGGACAGGAAGTTGGCTCCCTGGTTTAACTCTCATCTATGAGCCTTAAAACAAAACTCTAGAAAATTGGAGAGAACATGGCGCTCTACGCACCATGAAGAGGTCTACCTATCCTGGAAAAATAGTCTTGTGCTTTATAAAAATAAGCTTCAACAAACTAGAACTGCTTATTTTTCAGCATTAATTGAGGAGAATAAGCATAATCCTAAATTTCTTTTCAGTACAGTTGCTAAACTTACACAGAATCATAGCTCTGAGCCATCTATTCCCTTAGCCCTCAGCAGCAATGACTTAATGGGATTTTTTACAAGTAAAATTAATTCTATTAGAAACAAAATCTTTAGCATCCTCCCTAATGCGATTTCTTCTTCCTCAGTAAGTGAGGCAGCTTCAGAGGCATGGACGTAATTTTGGGGGGGGGGACAGTCAAGTTTTTGACCCCTGCACTTTTTACCATCCAAAAACAATATTACGCTATATTAAATTGACACTGGTTGAGCTCTAGGACCAAGCGGAAAACAACAGTTTGTGTTGAAGCCTGTTTCCCATTAGAACATACTGCAAAGTTACCCATACCCCCCCCCCCCCATGTCCCCCCCTCCCCACTTCTTAAGTGAAAATTACGTCCTTGTTCAGAGGTGACTGTAGAACCTCATCTGTGCTTGAACCGTTTTGATCCAGTTGAGCTTTCAGAGTTATCAAAAATATTAGCTTCATCTAAACCTTCAACTTGCATTTTGGATCCAATCCCAACCAAATTATTTAAAGATGCATTTCCTTTGGTTACTGCCCCCATTCTAGATATAATCAATCTATCCTTAGTAAATGGGTATGTACCACAAGATTTTAAGGTTGCTGTAATCAAACCTTCACTTAAGAAGCCTTCTCTGGATCCAGATGACCCAATGAATTATAGACCAATATCTAACCTTCCATTTTTATCCAAAGTCCTGGAGAAAATAGTGGCCATCCAAGTATGTGAGCATTTAAACACTAATGCTCTGTTTGAGGAATTTCAGTCTGGTTTTAGAGAGTATCACAGTACTGAAACTGCATTAGTGAGAGTTACAAATGATATTCTCATGGCCTCAGATAAGAATCTTGTGTCTGTTCTAGTCCTGTTAGATCTCAGTGCTGCCTTTGACACAGTTGATCACAATGTTCTTTTAGAAAGACTTGAACATGTTGTAGGGATCAAAGGAACAGCGTTAGGCTGGTTTAAATCCTACCTGTCTGACAGATTTCATTTTGTAAATGTACATGACAAATCTTCTTCATACTCCAGGGTTACTTGCGGAGTACCACAGGGTTCAGTGCTTGGACCAATTCTTTTTACTATATATACGCTCCCAATTGGTAAAATCATTAGACAGCATGGGATAAACTTTCACTGTTATGCTGACGACACTGAGCTAAATTTATCCATTAACCCTGATGAACCTAATCGGTTGGGTAGATTACAGGCTTGTCTTGAGGACATAAAAAATTGGATGACTCTAAACTTATTGCTTTTAAATCAAGAAAAGACGGAAGTTCTCATCTTTGGACCAGAAATCCAGAAATGGAAATTGCTTAGCCAATCGCCTGACCTTGACGCCACTACATTGGTCTCCGAGAACAAAGCAAGGAACCTTGGTGTTATCTTTGACCAGGACATGTCATTCAAATCCCAGGTTTCACAAGTTTGTCGGATTTCCTTTTTCCACCTTCGGAATATTGCTAAGATTAGAAGCATACTTTCCAGGAGTGATGCTGAAAAACTAGTTCATGCATTTATTACATCAAGACTGATTACTGTAATTCATTACTCTCAGGAAGTCCACAGAATGTAGTTAAAAGTCTTCAGCTTGTCCAAAATGCTGCAGCAAGAGTTCTGATGAGAATTAAAAAGAGAGATCATATCTCTCCTGTCTTAGCTTCCCTACATTGGCTACCTGTTAAATTCAGAATAGATTTTAAGATCCTTCTTCTCACATATAAAGCTCTTAATAATCAAGGTCCATCATACATCAGTAATCTGATTGTTCCATACGTTCCTAACCGAGCACTTCACTCTCAGACTGCAGGTCTACTGGTGGTTCCAAGAATATCTAAACTTAGGATGGGAGGCAGATCTTTTAGTTATCAGGCTCCTCTCCTGTGGAACCAGCTCCCAGCTTTAGTCCGTGAGGCAGACACTTTGTCTACTTTTAAGAATAGGCTTAAAACATTTTTATTTGATAGGGCCTATGGTTAAAATCTGATGTTAGCCTAAATCTGGACAAGTGGGGGAGTACAGGGAGGTGGAGTGTACAGTCGTAAAGACGGCTCTCCCTTGCCCTGCCTCCAACATGCCTACATCTAAATAGGATAGATTATCCAGAGTTATCTCTGTAGTTATGCTGCTATAGGCTTAGACTGCTGGAGGACACACTGACTACTTTTCACACTCTACTGCTTTATTCTACAGTCTGCTCTTTAACTGTACTATTTTGTGCAATTTCAGCTGTTAACTTTATTTTCTCTGTAAGTGTTTTTCTCCCCAGAAGAAGCTACAATGACGTTCTGCTGAGCTGTGGTGGCCTCATGGAGGGGGCCATCGACTAGCACACTGCTGCTAACCACTAATACATTCTCTCTCTCCTGATAATAACTTTTTGTTTTCATTGACTTTTGATGTGCTAATACTAGTTTATCCGTTTAATTATAGATCCACTAGGATAAATACAATAAAGTTTATCTTTCACCAAATACAATATTTACTAAGACATCACAATATAACTATAGACACATTACGTGTGTGTGTGTGTGTGTGTGTGTGTGTGTGTGTGTGTGTGTGTGTGTGTGTTTGTGTTTGTCTGCCTGCTCTGTCTTCTCGATCCCCAGTGAGTCGTGGAGGATGGCTGCTTATACTGAGCCAGGATTCTCTGGAGGTTTCTTCCTGTTAAAAGGGAGTTTTCCTCTCCACTGTCGCTGCATGCTTGCTTAGTATGAGGATTGCTGTATAGTCACTGACACTAGTCAATGACTTGATGCAATTTGCTGGGTTCCTTATATAGGAAACATTATTTCTGATTGGCTTAATGAACTGTGAATTGGAATGTTTATTATGTGAAGTGCCTTGAGACGACTCTTGTCGTGATTTGGCGCTATATAAATAAACTTGAATTGAATTGAAAGGAGAGTCCTGAGATTAAAATCCAACATCCTCTCAGCGAGTGACTTTGCGGATGAGACGTAAACTCTATTGTAACGCTCGTTACCCTTGAGTTTGGCTTTCCTGCAAAACACCGTCTTCATCTCCACTTTGATAAGCCTCGGGGGTTGTCCTGTGGCCCCTCACCCGTTCCGTTGATACCACCTCGGGCACGGGTTCACAGCTCAGCTCACCATGCTGCAGATCCTTTACCTCAGCTACAACATCTTCCTCACAGTTACTTTGCGGTAATCCAGCCGCAATTAATGAAACATCTGGGTCAAAAGACTTCCCCGCCCTTCCTTTTCAGCCATTTTCATGTCCATCTTCTCCATGCTGGAAACCATGATGCCCACTTCCATATCCGTGTTCAAGCGCAACTCTGCAGCCCTTTTTCCCCACTAGCTCTTCAATGCTGTTTCGTCCTCAGAAATTGCCTTCTCCAAACTTCCATGTAAGCTGTTGATCTTCATAATCATTTGCTCTTCCACCAAGGTCTGCATACGGTCAAATTTTGCACTTGGAACTCATAGTTCCACCATCAAATCACCATCAGCGTCTTTCTGTTTACGTCGACACGTATTGTCCGCCATTATAAATGCTCTAAGTACACAACTATAGTTCTTTATATGAGGTGCAGACTTTAGTAAAACACTGTTCAAAAATTTAAACAACTTTGTTGCATCAATCACCAGTTATTTGGAAATTTTATACTGATACCAAACACACACATGCGTTCAAGCGGCCATCTTGAATGTATAATTCAAGAAGACTATTTTCACTATTAGCCTACATGTTAAACTCTGAGTGACCGATCAGAAATCGTACAAATATCAAACGTGTGGTATTTTGTGTTTGTCAAATAAAACTGATCCCAAAACATTGTTTTACTTCCTTTGTTTGAACTTCCCCCTCCAATCCCCATAAACCCCTGCATGTCCTCTTACGGCAAGCCCGAGTGACATCATTAACAACGTTTGTATTTGTTCGTTTTTTGCTAATAAACGGTTGAGAAAAAAGACCTCAATAACAACACAAGTCTCTGGGTCTTCCGGGTTTTCAGACTCGAAGCTTAGATGTGTTGTGTAAGATCTAGTATTTTTAGGTTCAACGTGTTGCTACCACACATACAGAGTGAGCAGTCATGTTGCGTCCGAGCATTGGGTCATACAGTGTGAGAACACGACTTGGGGACTTTGCTCTGCGAGAAAGTAATAGTTTGAAATGTAGCAGAATGCTACGAGTGAAAAAGTCACAATGTACATCACGTTTTAGAGACACACCATGATGGAGGCGGAGCCTGTGCATCTACCTTGTTCTTGAGGACCAGGTGTTCTCTGAGGCGGCCAAAAGGCTCAGTAAAGGCAAACAGCGTCTTGTTACTCAGAGGCTTCCTCTCATATTTCACCACCACCACCCTGCTCTGCATCTGAAGACAACGTTTCATGTCAACAAGATAATCAGAAATCTCTAAGCAGAACCAAGACTGCCGCCGAGTTTGGACTCACTGTATTCTGTCCCAGTGGGTTTCCAGATGGGCCGCGGCCTCCGCCACCTAAAAAACCAGATGTTAGCAAACCACCTGCAGCTGAAAACAAACTGAAAAAAAGGCAGTTTGTGTCCTGGTCAGCGTCTCACCCCAGCTGGAGGACATTCCTCCGGTGGATCCCGAAGAAATGGGAGGAGGTCCGAGCAGGCCCGCTGATAGGTTGGGGGTTTCCCAGTAGCCCCCACTGCAAAAGAACCACACAAAGTTACTAAACGACAAACTCACAAATCTTCACTAAAGACGAGAGAAGATTCTGGTTACAGAAAGCAAAAAGTTCCAGTAAAAAGTTTTACATCAGCTCCGATCAGCTTACAGCCATCAGAGAACTCTTTAAATACGAGGTCACCAGTGTGATTCAGCACTGGTTCTGAACCAGAGCTACTAGTCTACAATGTTAACCAGTTTGAATAAAAACTGAGCAAAAAAAAAAAAAAATCATTGAGCAAACAGCTAACCCTAAAAAATAATTTACAATGTTAATCAGGTCTAAACCATCTGGTTCTGAGTTAGTCAGCTGACTAGGCTTCTGTTGAACAGAACCAACCCCGCTAGACTCTGGTCTTACCTGCTGCTCGAAGGCATCCCAGGCTCCCACTCTGGATACCTGAACAAGAAAAAATTAATCAGTTCACTAGAAGCTCAAAAACACAAAGTTACTTCGGTCATATTCATAAACATTACAACCCACTGACTCCTAGCAAACTCACCATTTGAGTTTGCTAGGACACGAAGAAGAGAGGTTCTACTAACAAAACCAACAGGAGTAAACACTAACTATAGAAATAATACAAAAACTGACTAAATTCCTAAATGGAGTTGACATATTTTAATCTGCCTCACAGGCTGAAATGCTCCAGTTAAACCAGGTCTTTCTACTTAGATGTTCCAGCTCAAACACAGATCTGGTGAAGAGGAAGACCAGATGGTGGTCATGATGAGTTTCAGGTCAGTTTCAAACCTTTAAGCTTTTTAATAATATTTCTTAATAAAATCATGTAAACTATAAATGAAACATTTTAGTGCTCTTGACTTAGTGGCAGCACCATATCGGCAGTGTTTCCCTTGCATAGATGTTGCTGTGGCGGCCTGCCATGGCTGAAATCCCAGCACCACGCCTACAAGATCCCAAGTTTTTTTTTTTTTTGCGCTGCTTTTTGAAGAACTACTCTGTTATTGCTTGTGATCACAGCCGGCAGGCAGCGAGGAGGAGGAGACAGGGCACGGTGAAGTTACAGCATACGTTACTGAGCTCAAACTAGAAAGATAGCAGTGGATATAATGCTTTTCGGTTTACATGTTTCAATAGCATTAAGATAGATGAGTGTTGACTATCTTGGCAGGGTTTCCCCAGTGCTCAGCTCGCCAGGTTTTCCTCCCCCCGCCAGGCTAAACATCACTTATTTATGTAAAATTGGTTGTTTTGCATGTCTGACTTTAACCGCATTTAATACTGTATTACGGTTTGAGTGTGAATGTGGGGACGTATTTCATCCACACTTCCTGTTAGGAAAACGCTTCTGAAAGAGGCGTCTCCTGGCAGACCGAGAGTGGCACTGAGGCATAAGTAGATTGCACCCCCCTCAACCCTCCCATGTGTGCCGTCGGGAGTTTCTCAATCTAAAAACGAGTTGTTAACGAGCGTGTGCACGCAAGTATGCACTTACACAAGACTTACTAAGTAGAAAAGCAGACGCAGATTCTGTAGCATTCTGGAGGATTTCCTGTTAACCACGATCATTAGATGACAAGGGGAGGAGGGCATTTTTTCAAAGAGGCGAGAGGCTCAGAGAGCCAGCGTGTCATATCGGCAGGTGAGTGGCTGAGCCAGGTGGAGGTGCGGCTGCCTCACCTGGAGACCAGTGCGGTGCAGCCACGTAGTAATTTGCTGACAACGTCACGTTTTTCAGCTTAGCCATCAACCACAGCTGGTTCTACATAAATGTGGAGCAGAGTTTTTAACCTGAAGATGGAGATATAATTATGGTGTTGGGCTGAATTATTAAATTTAAAGTAAGTTGCACTTAACTGCCACACTAATGATTACACGTGAACAGGACCATTAGACACTCATCTATACAGATTATCAGCAAAAAAAAGGTTAATTTAGGCGTTACTTGCTCTTTAAGATCAATGCGTGAGCAGCGTGAGAGGTCGGGTGTTTCGATCTGAACCCTTAAAACCTCCAGCAGGCTACGCTGCACTATTGGTGTGTTAGCCCGCGGCGCTAACAACTTAACATGTCTCGGAGAAAGCGTAAAAACATGTTGGACACTTCTTCTGAAGCTGAAAAATAAAACTTCTTAAGCAGAGCACGACTTTGCCTCGTTCACCCTCTGCCGAGCCGGACTGAGCTCGATAACATTGACCCATTGCTGGTTTGCATAGCCACTGGGTTGTTGGAGCTGCCCCGTGACTGCCTGATGGAAAATCAGCGGGTTTCATCAGACTCGTAAAGTTTCTTGTTTTTGCTGGGGACTCCTGTATTTTACCGCTCCCTCCTGCAGTCTTCCCCTATTAAAATTTTAAATGATTTTGTAAATGTGTGTATCAATAGAAAAAATCTCTGCCTCTGCCAGCTGCAGTAAATGTAGGGAAGACCGACTTGCCTTCTAATTTCCAAACAATAAGAGGTGCATTCATCTGTGTATGTCCATTGATCGGCATTAGTGATATTTTCAGCACCAGAACAATGAAGCAAAGAAACAGATTCCTGAGTTTGTTAGTAATTTCATTTATTAGGTGCATCTAACCTGCTCTATTTTTCTCTGAAATGAGATCAAATCAGTTCTTCTAAGGGTTGTCTCCTCTCTGCACTAAAAAATGTACTTTATTATAATGTTCACTGTAATGCATCTTGATGTTGTTAACAAATAAATTAAATCAAAGATATCGGTCAATAACGCCAAATATGTCCATTTGTGTTTCAGTCATTTTTATACTGGCTTAAAAATACTTCATTAAGTCTACTAAGCAGGGGTGTAGAAGGTTTTTGATAGGGCCAGCCCAGTAATGATCTTGGACCAAAATAAAAGGGGGGAAAAAGTCATGTTAGCTTAAACAAGTAATGTATCTACCTACTGTGCATCTTATTGTATTAACCCGACATAGGTTGCAATTTCAGATGAGCCTGCTCAAGTATTTTGAGCAAATATTGGTGTATTCACCTTTAATACTAGTTATTTAAATGCAGCGGTTGCTGGATTGCTGCAGTTCAAAGAGCAGTGCATCTAATAAAACAATATTAACATAAAGGTGAGACGTGTACACTGTACCCACAAACCCATTTGAGACTGGACATTGAGGCTGACTATCTGGATGTCAGCGGTTATGCCCGACTAAAAATCAACTCAACTACAGAGGTATAGTGGCCCAATTAGACATACAAAATTGTAAATATGGACCCGATACATCGGCCTATCCCTCATTCTGAATATCTGTGATCCTTGGAGACTTGGACTACACTGATTTAGGACCAAAGCTGATCTGGTTCAGATACTAATTTATCACAATGAAGAACAACAATTACAAGAATTTTGTTTTTCACTATGGTTTGAGTTTCAGTTCAGCTGATGACTTGTTCCTCTACTCACCACCTTAAACTGGACCCCCTTCTAGCTTTCTTAGGAACATGTTTGTTATAGCAACTCACATTTCCAGAAGACGCCGTTTGTTTTCAGCATGTCGCAGCCCATTAAGGTGTTGGTTCCACTCCTGCAGATGAAAACATAATTACCGATACCTGAATCATTTTCATGGCTAAACATACAAAACCGACCCAGTCAGAACCATGTTATGTTCATCTAATGAGGACCAAGTTTTTAAATCATCCAGCAAAATTACAAAGCAGACTATAAAAGTCTAACAGTAGTTAGTCTTGAGTTTTTATGGAAAAGTTCTTCCTGCCGTGACAGAAAATGAGCTCCATGTTATTAAACAACAAACTAGAGTCCACAGAGTCAGGATGTGTGTCTGATCCATCTGCCCGTGAAGGTCAGAGGAACTTTAAAACATCAGATCACAAAAAGAGAAGTTAAACTAAGGAGACTCAAGAGGCTGAGATGAAGCTGTAATATTACCTAGATGAGACCTAAACCAGCCAAAATCAGGCTGTCACTGCTGGAGAACTTCAGTGGAAGAAAACCAAGAAAAGGCTCATGCTAACAAGTGATTTAAAAAAGTTACATGAAGACAACTGGAGCTCCAGACTCTGAAAACATGAGGCCAGAGGCTGAAACATTTACAGTTAGTCCCAAAAGAAGAGAGGAAACAGGCTGGACGTACTCACCATGGTGGAATGAACGTCAAAGTCACAAAGAGCGCACACGTGAGGAAACATGGAGGGAGGGACTCCAAAGTAGTCTTGAACCTTTCCAGCTGACGGTGAGCCCATCCTCCTCTGCATAAAGATGGAGTCAGACTGCAGTGCCCCTCCGCTGAGCCCGCTGTAGGAGGTTTGGCGGGAAAGCTCTGAAAAAGACCTCTCTGTGTGTCCATCCCCAGTCCCGCCATAACTAGAACCAAAGCCCCTGCTGGAAAAAACATCCTGCCTGGGGCTAAACCCAAAGTCTCCAGAGCCCTGACCGAGTGAGGAGTCCCAGCTGTCCCTTCCTCCTCGATACACACCCTCGGAGGACATGGAGGACCCTGCACCCCGCTCTCCTGAAGCCCCTTTGCGGCTCTTGAGCTGCATGAGGATGCGCGGTAGAGTTTCCACACTGATGTCTTCCTCAGGGATTTTAACCAGAGCATCCAGATCAGAGGGCGACAGCCCCAGACTGGCAAAGAGCTTCATGGTGCTGCCAAGATTACTTCCACCGCCACGCCGGGAAATCTGAGCACCGCCATCTGGCCCCTCCATCCCACCCATCCCTACACCTGAGGACATGCCCCCCATTGGCCGACCAGAATGTTGCTCGTTCATGTTGAAGTTCAAGGTTTCTGGGGCACCAAGGAGCCCCCGACCCACAGAGAATGGTTTCTGACCTCCATCTGCCTTCTGAGACATGACGTCAACAGGAGGGGACAAGACAGTGACTGAAGCAGGCAGCAAAAAGACTCGGTGGATGGAGAAAGGTCACTGTGAAGAGGATCCTCTTCCGTCTTATTTCTGCTGAGACACAATGAGGCAGAGACAACCTTCAAACAAAAAGTCCTGTGATAAGACAGAAGGCAGCAGAGCCACCTGACCAGGTGAGATCACTGCAGAGGGAACATGAGAGGACGTTAAAGAAGGGAGACGACAGAAAGACTTGACCTCAGACCAGGAGAATAACAGAGATGGAGACTCTGTCACTGTGGAGGAGCAATATCAAGGAGAAGTGATTACTACAGACTTTTAAATGCAACTCACTCCATTAGTCTGAGACGTGAAAGAGAAAAACTGACTATAATGAAGGAAGGAGAGCAGCTGCACAATAACACGGCACAGCTCTGAGGGTTCTGGTTCAAACACATGCTGTTACTGGTCAGAAAGAATTATCTTATCTCACATACGGAGATTTTAAAACATTTCCATTAAAAGATTTGACTTCATTCTATTGTAAAATTAAAGATTAACTAAACAAAAATAACTTTGTAATTATCTATGAGATGTAAACATCAACAACTTAAACGGTTGAAGAGTTAAATGGAAATTCAACTGCTGGTTAGGGTAGGCCAAATTGTTTACATCTTCTTTGAATAAACCTCTGAAATGTTTCATCGCATAGAATAAAACTGGTCTCTGACCAGCAATGTGTACAAGCAGGATCAAAATAAAACCAAGCTACTGGTTTCAGAACCTGATCAAAAACGAGTCACATCTGAAAGGCCTTGTTTGGCTGTAGGTTTGTGTGCTGCACAATTTAACAATAGAAGTTCACGATCCAAAAATGGGACACACACGTTAACGCTTAAACAACATAACGTCATTCAACAAATTATTGAGCCGAATTGTACTTCTCTGTATACAAAATACTCCGATCGATTGCATTATAACACCGAAAAACTAAACTGCGTTCTTCGGTTTCACCGCGAAACACATTCGACCACATGAACAAAGCTACACGCTAAGCTAACAAGGAACAAACTTTTACCGTTAAATGAACCCTTTAAAACACTTTGGAGTGTGTGTGCGTGTGTCTTTACATCTGAACTTACCTGTAATTGTATACACTCAAAAGCAATAACTACAAAAACGACCAAACTATAAATATTTAGAGTAAATTGCGTTCTACTTTACGCAGGCTAACTAGGCGTCTCAAGCTAACATGAGTCATTATTGTTTCACTTTCAGTCAACAGTAACATTTACATCGATTTATATGCGTCGATTAAATAATTTTCTGCACGACATGAAGCATAATAGTAACCTGTTTCCAGATTTAAACACTCTTACCGCAAATTTCCGAGAGAGAGAGAGAGCAGATTAATCATCAATGTGTGATAACACAGATGATGCTCAGAAGCACTACCGCCATCTGCTGGTTCGGAGAAGGTGGGAGAAAAAAAGAAGAACATTAGCGCCATTTTCTGGATTTTCACCTTCACTGCAGTCTGTCATTGCGCAAACAAATTAATTTCCCACATGGCTGTGCACACCTCAGTTGAACAAAACGATTAATATACTTCCTACTACATGATCATGATCGAAAAAGACCAGGAAGATAGATCTTATAATACCTGCACCATTCTTGAGCATAAAAGACACAATGGTCTGTCAATCAGTTAACATAAATAATAATCAACATTAAATACTAGTGTTGTATATTTCACCAGTTTCCAATCTCCATAATGTCCATTATTCAGCAAGTTCATGCATTTGTATTCTGGTTTTTTCTATCCTCTTCAGCTGGGAAAAAACATTTACACACATCTTCAACTTATTCCAATTAATTCAACAATTTAACACCACATACTGAAATACACCTCTGTTATAAAGTAGTCTTTGCAAAATGATGTTTAAAATGAAAATTTCTTCTAGCCTCCAGATCCTCAGAACTAAAAACAAACAACTACTGCAAACTCATCAACGTACTTGACTTTTTGCTTTGTATATAACTAGTAATGTGCTTGACTCAACTAAACCTTTAAGTTTCATAATACGTGATCTGATAAATAAATTATTGTGATCTCTTAGATTTACTTTGTGTATAATTCGTACAGTTCTTTTCTGTACGACAGGCTTTTTGTGTTATCAGCAAAAACAAACTGTAACAACTATGACACATTGACAATGTCATTAATATACAAACCAAAAAGTTTAGGTCCCAACAATAACCCTTGTGGGACTCCACATTAAATCTTCAATGCAATCAGATATCTTACCAGCACACTGCACACACACACATGTCTGTTATCTAAATAACTACTTAAAGAGTAAGTCACCCCCAAATCAAATTTTTGCTGATAAACCATATAAATGAGTGTCTAAACATGCTGTAGACATGCGTTGTCAATATTTTGGCACTTTAGTGCATCTTAGTTAAAATTAAATATTTTGCCTAAAACTGTCAGTGTTGCGCCATCTTCAGGCAAAAACTCTGCACTACATTTGAATTTAAATCTACCTATTGGCTAAGAGGTACACAATGACGTTAGCTGGTGCATTGTGATGTCACAATGCTGTTGAAAGCCTGTTTGTGACCCTCTCGGTCTGCCAGGCAACAGTATTTGTTGCATTTTTCAAACATGAAGTGAGATTGGAGTAAGTTTGTTGTAGGGGGTGACTTGCTCTTTAACTATTTTAAGAGTACTCCTCTCATGCCATGTGTGGGTAATTTAGAAATTAAAATAGAAAGGCCTATGGTTTTGAGTGTTTTTTAATCTATAAAACCCTCTATTGTATTCTTTGAAGTGTTAATTAGATAATAAATCTAAATTGTTTCACTAATGGGTGGCTGTTGAATGGTTTTCTTTTATTTTTACTAATTGTGTAATTACATGAAGCATACGTTTAAGCTGAATCATGAGTTGACTCCATAGACTGTACATACTCAAATTGACTACAAATTCAAATTCAAATGTTCATTCTGTACTCCTTGATATTTATTATTTTTATTAAAGTGTTCAGTTAAAAATCAAAATCTTGTAACAAAATATGTCGGCTTGAAATTACTACAGCCCTTCAGTTAATTCAACAATGAAACACTTATATAATGAAAGGGTGTGAAAAATAATTTTCATATTTTGTTTATGTGTTCTATCTAAATGTGAAGTTTCACATAAAATAGAATAATAAAGTCCGTTAATTGATTGTGAGGACCGCGAATGCGCCACAGTCCTTAAGCCAATCATGGTGGAGCTCGAAGTGACGCAGCAGATGTAAACAAACATTTGCAGTGCGGCCATTACAGAAGAGTTTTTGCTTTGACTGAACTTGAGCTATTAGACATTTTGACGTCGAATTAATCCGCTCAACAGGTATTTGAAGAGTTAAAAATAAAATAGTTTGCGTCACTACATCCGTGTGCGTTTGTGTCTGTGTGTTCTGTCGCGGTTTGTGTTGTGTTTCATGCTGTGTAATTCAGCGGCCTTCACAGCCCGTCTGACCGCCGATTTCTACTCGTTTAACGGTCACCTCCCCTCTCGTCGTCCCACAGAGCCACAGAACCGAATCAAGAGGACATGAAGGACCCGAGCATCAACAACACCTCAACCTCCCCCAGCATGACAATGACCGGAGAGGTGATCCTTAGCAGCCAGTTCGGTACCGAGGAGAACCCGTTTGCGGAGTACATGTGGATGGAGAACGAGGAGGAGTTCAATCAGCAGGTGAGGAGCCTGAAAAACCAGATTCTTTACTCAAACCGTGGTCCAGGTTCAGAACCTGGCTCTATAAAAACTCGCTTATTGTACGGGACACATTCTGGAGAATTACACGAAAGCTCCCCTCAAAGTCACCCAGAACCATTAGTACTAAATGCGTGGTTCTGGTCATGGTTCTGTCAGAAGGACATGTATACTGGATCAGCGTATGGCTCTTAAGGTTCTGCCTTTCTTCATGGAAACCCAGTCAGATCTGAATCGGGTCAGCTCAGCTCTGACGTTGTGTGTTTGTTCAACAAAACATAAATTAAACAAAAAGATTTATTGTGTCTTTTAGGCACAGATGTCACGACTGATCAGAGGTCTGGAGTAAGGAAGACAGATTAAGTTCTCACAGAGGAAAAGAACTCAAGATAGTAGTGTTAGATGTTAGACATTATGTTGTTTTTCTTGAGAGAAAGCTCTCGGTCATCGGGATACTTCTGGCTATAGTTGTCGAAAATATTCACTTATTTATCTTCTTATGGTTCCTGACAACGCTTTTTAAAATCACTTGGTTAAACTGGTGAAAGCAGGTCCATCAGAGCCACAAATATTCTACTGTCTCTTGTTAAAGCATAGAAAAGACCCATTTAAACATCTGCTGCGAAGAACTCTGAGCTGCTTCTAGGGATGATTACTCTGTGTGTCACAGATCCTTTGGTGTTTATTTACCTCTGATGGGGTGGGGCTGCTTGAGAGACAACTATTACAACTGGACTTCGATTGGGCTGCTGGAGTCTGCTACAGGCCCAGTCATAAGTATGACTGAAACTACTTACTAAATTATTGATAAGACTTAAGGTTTTGTTGCATTTAGGGCAAGGCAGCTTAATTTGTATTGCACATTTCATAAACAGAGGTAATTCAATGTGCTTTCCAGGTGCAAAATCAACATAACAGCATAATTAAAATGCACAAATAAATTTATATAAATTAAATGCACAAATTAAATTCAGATTTAAGAATCAGATAAAAGGCTAAGTTAAAGGGGGAGCAGTTACAGTGCACAAGGTGCAGCATAAGAGACGGTCATTCAAAGGCTGATGAATGAAAGTTTTCAATTTTGATTTAAAAGTTACTAGAGTTGGGACAGCATAGTAGCTAAAAGCAGCTTCACCCTGTTTGGTTCTGACCTGGGGTACTATCAACTGACTGCTTCCTAAGGATCTCAGAGCACTGCTGGGCACACTATAAGGAAATCTAACGTGTATTTTGGCTCCATGCCATTGAGTGATTTATAAACTAGTAGAAGCACTTTGAAATTGATTCTGTAGTTTACTTGTAACTCATGCAGAGATTTAAGAACAGGAGTTCTGTTTTGTTCCCTCCTGACTGCCAGTGGCAGTAAACAGTGGATGTATCTCCTCGCGCTCTGCGCAGGTCGAGTACTAATGTAAACCTAGTCGCGAGTCTATAAATTACGCGCCGATAGCTACGTTCGGGTCTCTTTGATCTTCTCGCTGTTGACCTGGCGTGCTTCGCGGGTCAGTCGCTCCATCAGTCCGTGATTCGGACCTTGTCGGTCTAGAGGTGAGTACACGTACTACTTGGTGTCAACCTTCCCGAGACCGGGTGGTCGGAGTGCTCAGGGGAGCCCTCTGGGGCGGTGGATTGACGCGGTTATCTTTCGATTGTTACCGAGAGCGGGCGGTGCGGCCGGTGTTCTGAGAAACCGTTCTACTTTGGCAAAACGTCCTACCCGTAGGCTAATTTTACGGTGTTTTACATGACACAAACCATAACCCTAACTCTAACCCAAAAAAAATCAAGTATCAACGTCAATAAAAAGTACTAATACTTACTACTTATCTATTTTCCTGCAAATATGACAATGGAGTAGCATTTCCTTTTTGTGATGTGCGCATGCGCGCGCATGCTCAGGAACAACGGGTAGGACGGTTTACGGGGTAGGAGAAATTCCCAGAACACCGGCGCCATTCGGACCGCCGCTCGGATAGGGCTCGCTGGCGGTCGCTGTTTTCCCCTGTGGAAAGGGGAGGGGTTGCGGCCGGCGAGCGCTACAGGTAATTGGGGCTGGACGTTCTGACCGTGGAGGTGTCACGCTCAGATTATCCAGCCGACACACACATTGTGTGTTGTTTAACAACTCCAAGACTGAATCGCGTTCTTCAGTTTTCTTTGAAGTCCTCGCTCAGTTCCTGTGTAGTCGCTGGCGTCTCCCACATCGGTAGGGATGTTGGCGTGTACGTCATGCGGGGCTCCCCTCCAGGTGGAGGACGGCCACGACTTGTGTCCAAAGTGTCTGGGTGTCAGTCACCTCAGAGAGGCGCTGACTGACCCATGCATGAACTGCAGTATTTTGCTGCTGGCGGCGCGGGAGGACAGGCTACGAAGAGTGCCTCCTGTTTCAGTTAGACCTGCCGCCCTCTGGTATCCCTCATCCTTTTTCCGGGTGACGGAGGGATGGACCGGCTGAGGAACGCAGCAGCCCGAGGCGCAAGAAGCGGCGTGTGGCGCACCCCTCTCGCTAGGAAGTGGACACTTTGCGGGCGGAGGTGGAACAGCTCAAAGCACTTGTGACCAGAGCCCCGGATGAGGGGGGCTTGGACGACCTGATCTCTATGAGGGCCTCATATTCCGAGTTTCAGTCCCTCGGGGAGGAGGGCCCCTCTCCGGGTCGTAGTCAGGGGCTGGTAGTGGAGTCCCCGGGCCTGGGAGGTCACGGGGACTCGGGGATGTCTCTCCATAGCTCGGCAAGCTCGGAGCTGGCGGAGGACCCCTGTCAGTTGCGGGCGATTTTGCGAGCGGCACTGGCCAGGATTGGACTGGACGACGTGCCGGTGGCCTGTCCGGCGGGGAATCCCTTCTTCCGCCGGGCTCCAGCGGCACCCCCGTTTCAGGTCCCACCATCGCTGGCCTTTGTGGAGGAGCTGCAGCAGTGCTGGGGGGACCCGAGGCAGCTCTCCCACCACGGTAGGGATGCCAGGACCCTAGCATCGATGCGGGGGACAGGAACCTACGGGTTGGACCACATGCCTCCGGTGGACCACTGCGTTGCTTCTTTGGTGCTCTCCCCGGATGAGGCATTGAGGGACAGGGTCCGCTGTCCGAGCACCCAGTGTTGGGTGAATGATAGCTTACTGTGCCGGGCTTACGACATCGGGGCAAGGATGGCGCGCACCAGCAATTCGCTGTCGGTGCTGTTGCTAGCCTTGTCCCAGATGCTGCATTCGGGCGCAGCGGGGACGGCACTGGGCGATACAGACGATGCAGCCCTGCAAGCGTTTGGGCTGATGTCCAGGGAGCTTGGTCGGCTGTTGGGCACACTGGTAGTGGCTCGCTGTCAGGTCTGGTTGGCGCAGGCCCCGGTGTCGGATGACTGCTGACAGAGCCTGCGCGGACTGCCCGTGGTGCCGAGCCAGTTTTTCGGGCCCGAGGCTGAGAGGGCGTTGGAACGTCGGCGGCAGTCCAGACAGGCCGCAGAGGCCTGTAGTGGGCGTAGCGGTGCAGGGGTCCTCCCCGTGCCACAGACCAGGCCACGAGGGGCACGGGACCCTCGGCGCCGGTTTCGTCCGGCTGCCCCCTTGCAGGTCACCCAGCAGAGCGCGGCCGCGGCAGGGACTAGGAGACGCTCGGGGGCAGGTCAGGCACCGCCCCGGGGATCCGCGGGGCAGGACGGAACCCCCCCCCCCCCCCCCCCCAGGGCCCCGAACAGGCATCCACTCTGTTTACTGGCAGTCATCCAGGATCTCACAGAACCATAGTTACACCGTAACTTCCGTTGTGTGCTCGGTTCTCTCGGTTCTTGTTAAGACTCTAGCAAAACATATATATATTTAGTATGAGCCATGCAATCATTAGACTCATCTGATTTAAAAAAAATAGTATTTTTAAATGTCTTAATGTTTTTATTCTGTGTCTGTCTGTGTGCAGGTGGAGGAGGAGTTGTGGGAGGAGGAGTTTATAGAGCGCTGTTTTCAGGAGATGCTGGAAGAGGAGGAGCAGTGGGAGTGGTTTGTCCCATCCAGAGACCTCCCCTCTGTGGGTGTAGACCAGCTGCAGGACCAGATCAGCCTTCTAGTCCTGGATGCAGATGTGCACCTTGATAATGGCGACCTTGAGGTGGTGGTGAGTTCGGTTTGGTTTAGCCAATCAGAGTACAGTCTGACACACCCATCTTCTTTTTCTTACTGAAATGCTCCTCTTCTGCCTCCAGATGAAGAGCAACCTGAATCCCAATGCTAAGGAGTTCACCCCGGGCATCCAGAAGCACACCATGTGACCCCATAAGGCTCTGCCTCATTTACCCCTTGTCTGCACTGTGACATCATCATTAAGATGTCTGCTGTATTTTCCAGCCGCCTCTCGAACCTTCAGCCTGACATTGACATGTTGCCAAAGTTCTGTTTTCGCCTCGCATGTGTTTAAGTTCTGATCAACTTTCTATGTTTAATCACTTCCTCTGTGTGTGTGTGTGTGTGTGTGTGTGTGTGTGTGTGTGTGTGTGTGTGTGTGTGTGTGCGTGCGTGCGTGCGTGCGTGCGTGCGTGCGTGCGTGCGTGCGTGCGTACGCTCTGAATGTAAATTGGCTTATAACTGCATCAATCAGAACAAACTACTCTGTGTTCTCATCACTCCTCCGTTTTCAGCTTTCACCTGCATCTTTTTCTAAAATCAAATCCACCTGAGACCAGAAACACTCTGCCCCTGCGTAGGTTGCACCATGTTAGTCTGATTCACATGATCCCATCTGTTCCATGGATCTGGTTAGTTCTGGCCTGTTCCAATCTAATCAAGTCTTTTGGAGATTCATCTGGACTTCCTTCTTGTTTCCCAGCATTCTTTGTGTTTCTGACTTGTGGCTCTGCTGGTTCTTTAGCTGATACATTTTTTTCAGATGCACAGATCTTACTGTATAAAAGTCGTTTAAAGTGAAAAATATGTAAAAACAAAAAAAATTCTATTTTTTCTTAAACTAGTTGAAAATAAATGTTTATTGAGAAAATCAACCTCTGTGTATTTTTGTTCAACCCTGTTCTTCCTCACCTGAGTTAACACGGACTGACAATGACATCTTAAGTGGGGTTTTATTGGACCAGTCTGAGACTTTTACATCCTGTCTTAAGATTCTACTTTTAGGAAGCTCTGCTCTGATTGACTGGCCGGGGTAAAATAGTCCAGCCCCGTTTGTTAAAGTGATCAAAGATTCTGTACTTCACTGAGACTATTTTGAGCTTTTGCCTGCTTGCTTAACTCAAAACTTTGTAGCGTTATGAATATGTCATTTCTGCCCTTAACAGCTGTCCTTTGACACAGTGACAGTGTGCATAAATTGCCAAGGTCGTGCACTTGCTTCTGGTGTTTACATTCCAGCAAAGAAGACAGAAGAAGGACGAAGAATGCTTTTCATTAGTTAATCAAAGAACTTTATTTCTAATAAAGCTAATCAAAACAACTGTTGGTCAATAATAATCAGGTGACTGATCTGTGAAATCACAATGTTATGATTTATGTGTTTAATGAATAACAGAACTTTGGGCTAACTGAGCTAGACAGCCTGATCCACATAAGGTAAACACATGACACATTGTTCACTCATCCAATCAGAACTTCCTCTCTGATGCGTGGCAGAGCTCTGTGGTGTTTAGTTAATCTGTCCACTCCGATTGGTTAAGATTCATAAACAACTAAGCTTGATAAAACAGAACAACGCCATTTTAATTTAGTTCCACCGCAAGTTTCAACGTAGTTCCAACGTGAGTTCAACCAGCTCTCAAATCCATCTGATGTCCATCATCGCTAAGTGAAGTACAGACTGGCCAGCTGTATTTTCTACTTTTAAGCTGAGAACTGTCAAGCTGGAAAATTCTGTCGTTTTATCAACAAGACGACGGTTCCTTCAGAATAAAAGCTTAACTGTCTCTACGTGACACTGAACCCTCCCGTTGTACCGAGAGGCGATCCATAGACTGGTTTGTCATGCTCCCGACGCTGTTTCACCAGTTCAAGTACAAGGTGGGTCCCAGGACCTGGCATCCGGATCTAACACGGAAGTCTCCGCATGGTACGTAGTTCGGCATAGATTGCGTCTCATGTCTTCCTCCTGAAATCCATCTTCGGTCAGTTAGGGCAAACAACATCTCGCACTCAGACTCGCCTCCACCGGATGGAGATTCTGAACTGACACACCGCACCAACACTTCAGCATTACATCCATCTGCATCCATCATTAGAGAGTTAGTCCTGGTGATTGTTTCAAATAATTATAAAATAAATATTCTTAAATGTCCCATCTCTCTCTCTCTCTTCTTGTCTCTAATTCAATACAAAGTGTTTGAATAAAATTCCCTGTAGTAAAAACAACCTCTTTTGATTCTAAGGGCCCGGTCCAAAGATTAATGATCCAGCTCAGGCTCGGATCAGTGAGATCTCTGGACCTTAATAAAAGTGTAAGAATATACTAACTATATTCCGCTACAACTTTCATGAAGTTAAATGATTAGAGCTCTAAAGGACCCATATGTTTTCTTGTCTGCATGGAGTCTGCTCTGTTCAGTGTCCTTAACTGCTGAAGAAAACTCCCCCCTTTGCTAACTCAAAAACATTTTATTCACCTTCTGTCACAAGGCATCCACAGAAACTTAGTATTTTTTATGAGTTAGAACTCATAAAACAGTTTCCTCTCCCATCAACAATTCCAATTTTCGCGCTGCTCTGGGTGGCTGCATGTTGGAGTAGCTCTGTTAACTACATGTAAGTTTTGCCTTTTTTGGACATTTTTTCTTCTAGCGTCTTAAGAAAAACTGTATTTTTTTGGACCTTTAACTTTTCTATTTCTGGTGCTGTGAAGCTTAAGAGGATTTTTACTGCTATTTTTTCACTTTTTGAGCATTTGTTATAATGCGTAACCTGTTATAATGCGTAACCATGGCAACAAGCTGTTTTACAATTGGGAGCAGCTGATTAACATTGGAAAGGCTGAAATAATACCTCAACTGAAGCCACAAATCCCAAATGAGCTAAAACGAAAGAAGGGTGGATGCAGGGCAGGAGCAAAACGGAGACAGAGAAAAAGGAAATTCAAACCATCTCTTCCATCAATTATAATGGGCAATGTGAGATCACTGGCCAACAAGATGGATGAACTCCAAGCCCTTTCAAGGACTCAGCCAGAGTATTGGCAGTGCAGTGTTATGTGTTTCACTGAGACGTGGCTGCAGGACCATATCCCCGATACCAGCATCTCTGCCAGGATTCCTGACTGTACGAGCAGACATAGATCTGAAGAGGAGCGGGCAAAGAAAAGGAGGTGGTGTGGCAGTGCTTGTCAACAACAGATGATGGCCTCCATGTCATATTTCAGTGAAATGTCGTCTCTGCAGCCCAGATGTTGAACTCTTGGCAGAAAGTTATCGCCCATATTATTTGCCAAGAGAGTTCACCAGTGTTGTCTTGGCAACCGTTTATATTCCACCTTCAGCCATTGCTGAAAATGCATGTGATGCCATCAGTTCCGTTGTCGCTAAGCTACACACCCAGCACCCCAATGCATTTGTGGCTATATCTGGTGATTTTAATCATACCTCACCCTCTGCTACTATGATTCCCTCCAAGCAACACAGACGCAAGTGATTTATTTTACGGGTTTATTGGATGTCCTTTCTTTGTGGACCTCTTCTGTCCTCCTTTCCTTAGACCTCCCTTAAACCGTGAAACTAAATACAGGATAGTACAATTAAAACATATACAATAATGTGCAACAAAATAAGGACAAAGAAATACCTCATTGGCTGCTTTGCTTAAAACACAAAGGGAATCCATCTGTCCTTCTTTAAGTCCTTTTACTAGTTAGTTCTTTAGCAAAGAATTAAATGTTTTCAGTCCATTAGCTGTCTGCTTGCCAGCACTTCATCCAGGCTGTGTGTTCCTCACACCTGGCTTGTATCATCAAATTAAGGGTGTGGCTGGCAGAGCAGCTCATGTAGCTTTTCAAAATAAAATTACAGGAAACACAACCAACCCAGTGTTTTACAAATGGGAAAATAAATAAATGAAGAAATAAACAGCAACAGCAGTTACAGCTACACTTCCAACATTTCAACAGTTTGTCAGCTGCTCCACCAGAGAAAACAAGGCATTTGATTTGTGTTATGCAAATGTAAAGAATGCATACATGTCCAAAACAAGACCTCCTCTGGGACAATCAGACCACAATCTTGTTCTTCTCTGCTCAGAATACAAACCACTTGTTCAGAGGCAACCTGTGACAAGAAGAACTGAGAAAATGGTCACAGGATGCTGAAGAAGCCCTGCAGGGTTGTTTTGAGAGCACAGATTGGATGATTTTCCGCCAAGGATATGAAGAGGACATCAATGCCATGACTGGATGTGTCACTGACTATTTAAACTTCTGTGTGGACAATATCATACCCACCAGAACAGTGAGATGCTTCGCTACTAACAAACCCTGGATCACCAGTGAACTAAAGAACCTGCTAAATGAGAAAAAAGAACCTTCAAGGATGGAGACAGGGAATTATTGAGGAGTATAAAGAAGCAACTGAAGATCAAGATCAGAGACAGCAAGGAGGCATACAGGAAGAAGCTGGAGAACAAACTACAGAGGAACAATATCAGAGATGTTTGGTCAGGGATGCAGAAGATCACAGGCTTCAAGCAGAGGAAGGATTGCACAGATGGCAGCCTGGACACAGCCAATGAACTGAACAAGTTCTTCAATAGGTTCAGTTCAGAAACAAACCCAGCATCCTCCTCGCCTGTCCCCAGCCAATCAGACATCCCATCCTCCTCTGATCCAACATTTTACTGTTGCACGCCAGCTCTTTTGTCCTCTAACAGAGTCATGGACTATTCTGGTTCTATAAATCTGTCTTCAACCAAGTCAGGAGATGCTGCTGCCCCATTTACCTCCCCCTCCCACCTATCTGTCTCTAGAAGTCAGCTGAAGAGGCAGCTGGAGAGACAGAACAGGAACAAGGCTGCAAGTCCAGATGGTTTCAGCCCCAGAGTACTGAAAGCCTGTGCAGAGCAGCTCTGTGGGATTCTGCAGCACCTCTTCAACATCAGCCTGGCCCAGGGGAAGGTTACAGTCCTCTGGAAGACATCCTGCCTTGTTCCAGTTCCAAAGAAAACTCGCCCATCAGTCAATGACAACTACAGCCCGGTAGCCCTGGCATCCCACATCATGATGGTCCTGGAGAGACTCCTGTTGGTCCACCTGAATAAGCAAACTAGAACATATCAGGGCCCCCTGCAGTTTGCTTATTGCCATGGAGTTGGAGTTGAAGATGCCATCATCCAGCTGCTTCAACCAACCCACTGTCATCTGGACAAAGCAGGCAGCACTGTGAGGGTCATGTTCTTTGATTTCTCCAGTGCATTTAACACATTTCAGCCTGATTTACTTTGCCAGAAACTCCAGAAGATACAGGTGGGGGCCTCAACTATCGCCTGGATTAAAGACTACCTGACAAACAGACCACAGTTTGTGAGGCTGAAGAACTGCACATCAAACCAGGCAATCAGTAACATTGGAGCACCACAGGGGACTGTGCTCTCACCATTCCGTTTCACCCTGTACACCTCAGACTTCCAGTACAAATCAGAGACCTGTCATCTACAGAAATACTCAGATGACTCTGCAGTTGTCGGGTGTATCAGAGATGGACAGAAAGCTGAGTACAGAGAGCTGGTGGAGTGCTTTGTGGCATGGTGTGGACACAATCATCTGACCTTGAACGTGAACAAAACAAAGGAGATGATTTTAGACTTCAGAAGAAACAGGGTGGAGTCAAACACTGTTTCCATCATGGGAGAAGAAGTGGAGGTGGTTGAGGAATACAAATACCTTGGAGTTCACCTGGACAACAGACTGGACTGGAGAAAGAACAGCGAAACCGTTTACAAGAAGGGACACAGCAGACTGCACTTCTTAAGGACGCTTAGGTCCTTCAATGTCTGTAGCAAGATGCTGCAGATCTTCTACAAGTCTGTTGTTGAGAGTGTAATCTCTTCAGCCATCGTCTGTTAGGGTAGTAGCGTCAGAAGCAGGGACCTGAAAAAGCTCAACAGCCTATAAAAACGGCTGGTTCTGTTCTGGGGACGACTGTGGAACCACTGGAGGAGATAATGCAAAGAAGGATTCTCCAGAGAATCAAGAAAATGATGGACAACCCTGAGCATTCTCTTCACAAGACTGTCCGACAACGGAAGAGTGTCTTCAGTCAGAGGCTTCTTCAGTTTCGCTGCAACACTGACCGCTACTGGAGATCCTTCCTGCCAACAGCCATTGTAATATACAACAACTCTTTGATGACTTTATTATTATTATTATTATTATTATTATTATTATTATTATTATTATTACAGCAATCAATTACCCTCTGGGATTAATAAAGTATTTTTGAATTGAATTGAATTTAATTGAAAGAAAAAATAAGAAGGTCTTGGTATGGAGAAAAATAAAAAACATAGAGATTAAAATGTCATTGTGATTAACAGAAAATTATGACAAATCTGGTAATAGACCAATTCACAGATTGAATCGAACTGATACCAATGTTCTTCGGTCCTTCACACCAGAGGATGGAATGATGTTGGGATTCTCCAGAAAACAAGGAGGCATTTCTGTGGAGACCTCTGAAATTATGCATCACTGCATCAATTTCATCCAGTAAAAAGTAAATAATAGAACTAAGTTTGTATAAATCATAAAATCCTAAATCTGTTCCTGAATGTATGCTTTGTTTATTAAAGGAAACTAGTTTTTTAAGATTGATTCTAACAAATGTTTCTACAGTTGATTTCCAACAAAGACCAGAGCTAAGGATTTTGTTCTCTTTTTCCTTGTTTTGGTCAGCTGTTTAATAGGGAGCATGGATAGACTACTGTAGAGGTTCATCTGTCATTTCAACACTGGGCTTAATAAATGTATACAAATAAAGAGCCTTTGGGCTCACCTCAGTCCTCCCAACATGGCTAAATCTTCAAAACTGAAAACGGAAACAAAAGACAATCAGCTGCTTGTAGAATAAACCTGCAGGGGGCAGCAGATATGTAGGGAGCTGCAGCCCTGTCCTCGGAAACCAGCACGTGGGTGTGTGTGTGTTTGCCCCCACAATGCCGCTCAGAAAATGGTCCCATCCCGGAAGTAAGAAAAATTGCAGTTCCACCCTCATCCGCTGGGGGCTGGTGCCAGAAGCGAGCAAATCCTCATTGACTCCCATGTTAAAAATGCCGATTTCACAGCAGAAATAAACATGTTTACAGCCTGGTGCCAAAACATGTTTTTTGTCTAAATTATCTAGTTTATACTCATGACAACTCTGAGGGGGGTGAATTTTTTTCTCACTCTTCTGTTTAAGTGTATTGAAAGCCTAAAATTCTGTATAATTAATGAGCATCCGACACACGTGACCGCCGCCTCAGACCCACGTGACCACAGAGCTAGCTCCGTGGAAAGGCCTCAGTACAGCCTCGGTCTGGCTTGGAAACTGCTCCGGCATTTTGAGTCTGTGTTTGTGTATTCTTCTTTGGATATTATTGGTGCAATTGTTGGACAAAATGACTTGCAGTGGTATTAATTGCACTAATAGAGCGTCCAAGGAGTCTCCACTTCATTTTTTTCGGTAAGTTAAAATCTATATTCGTATTTTATGTCACTGCCACCTTTAAACTAGCTGAGTTTACCGAAGTAGCTAGCTAACTATCAGTTTAACATGTAGCATGTACTGTTTAACCATGAAATTTAAATGTAAAATACGGTAAAATAATTAATAGGGCATATTTAGATGGGTAATAGGGTAAAACCCAGTGCATTTAAGATAAAAATGGGTTGAAATATGACGGAGCGCTAAGAGGGAGACTTCTGTGTCCATTCTTCCATCCGGTAATCCCAAGCGTTCAGGCCGGGCAGCCTGACCGATCCGGCGCCTACTTGCTGCGCCTAGCTGCTGCGCGGTCTGACCGCTCGTGGAGTTTTTCATGTCTGACTTTAACCGCATCTAATACTGTATTACGGCGTGAGCGCAACAGCGACAACTTAATATCGATGTGTAAGCAGCCTGAGTGGTAGGGTGTTTTCATCTGAACCCTTAAAACCTCCAGCAGGCTATGCTGCACTATTGACGTGTTAGCGCGCGGCGCTAACAACTTAGCAACGTGACATGTCTCTGAGAAAGCGTAAAACACGGACGCTTCTTCTGAAGCGGAAAATAACACCTCTTCTTAAGCAGAGCAGGATGTCGCCTCGGCTCGTTCACGGCCGAGCCGGACTGAGCTCGATAACATTGACCAAGCACAGCCACTGGGCCGTTGTAGCTGCCACCAGGCCTGCTGAAGGAACTCCAGCGGGTTTCATCAGACTCGTAAAGTTTCTTGTTTTTGCTGGGGATTTCTGTATTTTACCGCTCCCTCCTGCAGTCTTCCCCTATTAAAATTTAAAATGTGTAACTTTATGTATTGTGATGAATGACTAATATTCATGTAAAACTAAAACGTTAGGCATTTAGGGGGAAAAAACAAAATAATAAACATTATACAGATGTCAAATAAATCAAACTGTAATTAAACTATATATTTTCAAAGTCATATAGACAGCATGATGGTTTGTGTGATCCGCGCGGTTTCACTTACACCCCTTTAATGATCAGGCTGTTTTTTATTATTTTTATCAGCTGATAGCAGTTAAAATTATGGTAAAAAATACTTTTATCTGTTTTTGATAACTTAATGCCCAGGAAGAGCATCTTCCTGGGCATTAAATATAACCCAAATGTTTTATTATGAGCAGATCTGATGAAGGTTTAGACAAGCAGTCTGCAAAGTAAAACTTGTTTAGAGTCCAAACTCTTACTAAAGCTTTTAAAAAGAAAAAATGGTTGAATTTTGAGAAATATCCACAACAGGGGAGCGAGACCTCTGAAAAATGTATATTTTCTCTGAATTCATAGAATAATGTGAAGATTCTGGGAAAAGTTGGGATTCTGAGATTAAAACGTAAATCTTTCTAATCATAATTCTGGCAGTTTTTGTGTCCTTCTGCTGTGGAAAGTCGTGCAACATGAAGATACTGAGAAGATGCTTACAACCTGTATTTTTATTCCATCCATAAATAAAATCATGAGCTATTTTTTTAATCCAAATTTGATACAAAGGGCCATCGTTGGTTCCAGACCCGTTCTAGAACATTCCTCTAATCTTAAAAGTCATCATCAGTTTCTTCCTTTTAACAAATATTTATTTGTTCAAATATTTAATATTTATAACTGGAATATTTGTTCCTCCCTTTCCCACTGCAGTTAGTCCTGTCCTGCAACCCTGTTTTTGCAGCTTAGTGAAGCCAACCATCACTAACCTGGGGGTGGTTTTGGACCCAGAGATGCGGATGGACTCCCACATTAGCCAGGTGGTTAGATCCTGCTTTTCCCGGCTTCGCCAGCTACCAAAGATGAAGTCCATCCTGAAAGACGTCATATTTTCTCCCCAAGCTGGACCTGACCGTCATGTATCGGTCCAAAATAGTGTGATGATATTGTGTTTTTTGTACATAACAGACTTTTTAACAGACAAATTTGTCGCATTCTCCTACACCTCTTCACGGGCTCGCCACAGTAAATATTCTATTTGGCAAGAGATAAACTTTATTGTATTTATCCTAGTGAATCTATAATTAAACGGGTAAACTAGTATTAGCACATCCAACATCAAAGAAAGTAAAATGTTACTATCAGGAGAGGGAGAATGTTTAAGTGGTTAGCAGCAGTGTGCTAGCCGATGGCCCCCTCCATGAGGCCACCACAGCTCAGCAGAACATCGTTGTAGCTTCTTCTGGGGAGAAAAAATAAAGTTAACAGCTGAAATAGCAGGAAATAATACAGTTAAAGAGCAGATTGTAGAAGAAAGAAACCCCTGGGTTAAACTGGTCTGTCTACTGCATAATGCTGAACTCTAACATGTGTCCTCAGGGAAGGACCTGATTGGTGTCCAGAACCTGTTGAAGAAGCACCAGGCTCTGCAGGCTGAGATCACAGGTCATGAACCTCGCATCAAGGCTGTCACCCAGAAAGGAGAGACCATGGTGGAGGAAGGTAGAGCAGGTCTGGTCCTGACATGTTTCTGAGGTGTCTGCAGGTTCTGGCTCACTTTTTTTGGGTCCAGGTCACTTCGCTGGTGAGGAGGTGAAGACTAAGCTGTCAGAGCTTCATGGACGTTGGGACACGCTAAAGGCCAAGGCGTCCCAGAGGAGGCAGGACCTGGAGGACTCTCTGCAGGCCCAGCAGTACTTTGCGGATGCTAATGAGGCCGAGTCCTGGATGAGGGAGAAGGAGCCCATCGTTGGAAGTCCAGACTAAGGGAAAGACGAGGACTTGGCCGAGGTATGGAAGTCCCTTCCTGAGAAACTCCAATCGCTTTTCTTTGCTCTCTTTCCAGTCCTTCATAATTAGTGTTTCTGTATTTGTCATTTCCTTCGGTTGTCTACCAGACATCGTTGCTCGTTTGAGCGTCTCATGGGTTAGGGGTAGAAGTGCTGGCCTCGCACAGGAAGTGATGACAAACGTGTTCCCGGCGCTCTTATTTCAAACGGTTTACAAGCTGTGATGTGTGTTCCCGCTGCAGAGCAGCCATGACACGTGGCAGCCGGCAGAAGGCTCACGCTTTTCCACTAAACACCCGCAGAGCTGCGTCTGCGGTGAACTGAGCAGGGTTTGTTTTACAGTGGCGGATCCGATTGGACCATCGCTGCGAGAAAGCTCCACTTGTGTCAGACGAGCTGAAGGTTCTGATGTTCTGCTCCACAGGCTCTCCTGAAGAAGCACGAGGCCCTGATGTCGGACCTGTCGGCTTATGGCAGCAGCATCCAGGCCCTGAAGGAGCAGGCCCAGTCCTGCAGGGTGAGTTCAGAGCCCTCGGCCCGTCAGAACATTCTTATCCACCACGTTCTAACACCAGACCTGTTAACCCGACAGCAACAAGATAATCAGCAGGTGCTTTTGTCCTGCAGGACCTGAAGGCCAACGAGTCCCGCCTGAGGGACATCAACAAGGTGGCATCTGAACTGGAGTCAGAAGGTCTGATGGCTGAGGAGGCTCCTATGGTTCAGGCTCGGGTGAGCGTCACCTGTCTGCAGCAGCTGGTCCCTCTCACTTCCTGGTTTGTTAACTCTGCTCGTCTCTGTTTGTAGCAACAAGAACATCTGGGTTCTGCTCCTGGAAAGGTGCATGTTGTCCTCCGCCTCAACCAGAACCAGACGTGGTGTTTATGTTACCACTCATTTGTTTGTTTGTTTGTTTGTTTACAGGACGAAGCCGACTCTTAACACGGCGTCACCCTGGAAGGTGAGTTCATTCAGCTGATCAGAGGTCACCTCTGATGGCAGCAGTCACGGCCGACCGTGCTGACATCACACAGGAATTCAGGTGACCCGGCAGGCACCAGGTGCTGGTGAAAGTGGGGACATGTCAGCTGGTTGCCATGGCTACAGTTATCTTTATGCATCTGTATGACTGCTGACTGGTGTGTTTCCTGTGACCTTTGACCTCAGACCGTACGGTTGGGCGTTCAGACGACGGCTAACTTTAATTTCATCAAGGTAAGAGGAAGCTCTTCCCTTCCTGTCTGAGCGATCCGTCTCCAGGTTTCCTCGTCCGGCGTCCAGCCCGCTGGCGTCCACCTTCATCTCACCTTCATCTCATCTCACTTCATTTATAGTGCAATACTTTCACATTATCATTTTCCCACACTTCTGTATACCTGTATTTTGTTGTTTTTCAATAAAGAATGACAAATTATTTAAGTTTGGTTTTTGTTGCACACAAATATATATCTGTAAAAAATATCTTCAAAGCTAATGTTTACATAACAAGTATGATTGGGTTTTGCAATACGGCACTCAAGTTTATTTTAGTAAGATTTTCAAACCAAGTAAAGTTAGTAAAGAACACATTTCTATTGTCTGCTAAGAAACTGTTGGGATTTAAAATGGGCCTGTTGTACAAATAACTTGTAAATGATTATTCCTCACTTTTGTCTTAACCAAAGAAATTCCAGTAATTGAGCAAAAACATTTATTTTTAACACTACATTTTATAAAACAGGGCACAGTGTCGGCACATGTATGTATGTCGATGGTCCGCCCCAACCGAACCAGGAGACACAGACGTCAGGGAGGCCAAGGTTGTCTCTGCAGCTCTCTGGGCACCACGCCTCACTCAGCTGTCCCCAATGATCCAAATGGCTATGGAGGAAAAAAAATTTAATAAAAGAATGAAACTTAAAAACTCCCAAACCTCATGTCATATTTACTAATCAGCTATGGCTGATTTATTGTTTGGATCACAGTGAGTTACACTAATTCTAATATATTTTTATTTCTATTATACATACATACTTTTTAACTGTTATTTTCACATGACTGTTATCAGGCTCTTGTTCTGGTTCTGATGATAACTCTGTCTTCCAGTAAGTTATCTTGTGCTTACTTCATCTGTATAATGTCTCTACTTTTGGTAAATTGTACTGAGTCCAGAATAAAGGCTAGCTGGCTGTACAAGATACAAACAAGTATTACGTTTTGGAAATATATGAAACACCGCCAGCATCTGTTAGAGCCTGTGGCGGGGTGCTGAGGGCCGGCTCCAGCCCAGGAATGAGCTCTACACGCCGGCCGGGAGGGTTTGAAACACCGCCATCCTCTCCTCTGCTGGCTGTTCATTCTGTTATGGTTACCGGTGCTTGTGTTGCAATGTTAAACGCTTGGTCTCGGATTTTGTAAGAAAGATAAAATGTCCCCCCAAAATACGACTTAAATAGTCTCGGATTTTGTAAGAAAGATAAAATGTCCCCCCAAAATACGACTTAAATATATTTTCTCTTCTTCATGATACATTTAATGGCTGGTGCGACTCAGGAGTGATAGCGCCGAAAAAAACTGTACTGAAAACTTGCTCAAAGCAAAATGTATTCATTACGGAAATAAATTATAAACTTACCGATTTAAAACCTTTTTAATACAGGTACTTCTCACGAACAGGCGCAGAAAACCTCCACCTAAACTCCGTGTGAGGTTCAGGTCGATGGGTGTTCCAGTTAGCTCCGGTTGGGTTGAAGCTAGGTGGCTACATCCGTTAGCTCGGCTCCCACCTCCGCTTTAGCTTTGGGTTAGCCAGGGTTAGCTTCAGGTTAGCTCGTAGCTAGTTCGCCTGGGTGTCGTCACTCGAGCCCAGCCTTACAGCCACACCCTCAGCGCCTCCTCTCTTCCCTTTTATGGAATTGTCTGGGCTGGACGGAACCTGTGACACGGTCAAAATGGCGGTGGTGGACACCTCCCATTATGGACAGATAACGTGTTATTGAAGCCTATGGAATCGAATTGTCCAGTATATGTACAGTCTATGGTGTTTGCGCGCGCGCGTGTGTGTGCGTGCGTGTGTGTGTTTATGTGTGTGTGTGTGTGTTCAGCCATATTTTAGCAACCGCCGTTGCAGATCCGTATATTATGTCGATGTTGCAGATCAGGGTCACATTTGTGGATGCTGATGAGGACACATGCTGGAGGGGCTTGGCCTCAGGGGAGCTCACACATTCTTAGAGAGTGGATGCTCCTGATAAGGCAGCAGATCACAAACTCTAACACACACACACACACACTAGCATTATCCTTAGGGTCAGGATCAGAGAAGTCCTCCACACAGTCTTCCTTCCTTCTGAGATCAGCAGAGTTGATGGCTCAGGGGGTTCCAGGGTCCATTCGCTGCTGCAGGTTCCTGCTCTGGTTCAGGCTCAGATTTCAGGATATCCTCAGCTCAAGGATCAAAAATATATATTTTGTGGTCTGAACTCATGGGTATGATGAAGACTGTGACATGTCTGTCTTCATAACAGGAATAGGTTATGTGGAGCTGACTGTGGAGCAGGTTATGATTCATCTGAAAACCTCATTAATCATAAATGATAAAAAGCAGAACTTGTCATAACAACATCCAGTTTCTGTTTCAGGTTCTGACCCATGCATCTATGGTCTGTCTGAGTGGAGAAGAGGGAGCTGAGTCCTGGTTCCCACTCAGCTATCCTGATGAGCTCAGCTTTTAGGTCAATGTTCAGAGTAAACCTACTGCTGTCTCCAACCTGACCATTAGATGGCACTAATGTTGTTAAACTCAGATCATCTGGACCATTACAGATTCTGCTCAGGTCTAGTTTCAAGAAGTTTGGGTCAGAATATTTTTTAAAACAGAAGTAAACATGAATTTTTGGATAAACACTGACCCACATTGCTGACATCACTGTCTGACCTCAACATGACCTCAAGCTAGCACACTGAGGTCCAACAGGTTCTCAACAAAAAATGATTTTCTTTGCAGAGTTTAAAACATAAAACAGAGAAACTGAATCCTGATGTCGAGAAGCAATTTGACCCCCCTCACCCAGACCCCCCTTACCCACCCCAAGCCCGAGCAGCTTTCAGATGCAAACGAAGTAGACATATGGAGAGGAGGTGTCTCTGCTGAAGCCCTCCTAAAGATTCAGATTGTATGACAAATCACGTCCAGAACAGCCTCTGCCTCCCCTCCTGGTCCTCCCTTCCAGATCCTACCATCTTGGACTTCCCTCCTCATCCTTGCCCCCTGGTCCTCCACCTTACCCCAGGCCTCCTCCCCCATCCCTAGATTATAGCTTCATTAGGCTAGGACAGTTTTCTCAGTTTGTTTATTCCAGAAGATTAAAGTTTTTGCAAAAACCCAAACCCTCACCCCACTTACCCCTCTACTCCTGCACTCACCCTTCTACTTACCCCCGCCCTACTCACCTCTTCATCCACTCTTTTACTCACCCTTCCACTCACAGCCTGTCCATAGACTCCAATAATCCTGAAATTCAGATTCTCAAACTTTTTTAAAGAGTATTTCTTTGCAGCATCCTCTACTTTTCTTTCCTACTTTATGAAATAATTTTTTTCTTTTATGAATTTCATGTTGGACTGACCAATAATTCACCCAGAACCTAGAAACCAGGTTTAGGTTTAATTTTCTCCACCTCCAAATCTAAAACAGGTTCAAACAATGACAAGCTCAGTTTGAATTCACCAGTTATAATTCAGTCTCCAATTAACCTGACATGCATGCTTTGGTCTGTGGGAGAAAAATGCCTCCAGATCAAGTCTGTTACAACAGTTAACTCTTGTTTACATCTGCCAGCTGTTACAGTAAATTCAGAACACTGTTCAAAAGCTTTAACAGGTCATTGAAAATTAAACACAACTAAATGATATTTTCAAGCATAAAAATGTTCAAACCATTTGTTCAGTTTTGACCTATTAGAGAGCTTAAATAATATTTCATGTTTGGATCATATAAATGAACTACCCGGCCAAAGAAAAATCACCGCTCTAAATAAAAATAAAACTCACAGACTCTAATAATTTGCTGGACAACCTTTAGCTTTGAAGACAACACACGTTTGCTGTGACTTTTTTCAACAAGTTTCTGCAGTGTAACAAGATTTATTCCCATCCAGTTTTGCATACATTTCTCACTAAGATCTTGCACGGATGATGGTAGAGTCTGACCGCTGCACAAAACCTTCTCCGGCACATCCCAAAGACTCTCAGTGGGGTTCAGGTCTGGAATCTGCGGTGGCCAATCCATGTGTGAAAATGATGTCTCATGCTCCCTGAACTGTTCTTTCACTATTTGAGCCCGATGAATCCTGGCATTGTCATCTTGGAATATGCTCGTACCATCAGAGAAGGTGGAATAACCTGGTCATTTAGTACATTCAGGTAGTCAGCTGACCTCATTCTTGGAGCACATCCTGTTGCTGAACCTAGACCTGACCAACTGCAGCAACCCCAGATCATAGCACTGCCCCCACAGGCTTGTACAGTACGCACCAGACATGATGGGTGCATTACTTCATCTGCCTCTCTTCTTACCCTGATGGATCTATCACTCTGGAACAGGGTCAGTCTGCACTCATCAGACCACATAACTTTCTTCCATTGCTCTAGAGCAGGCGTGGGGAACCCTGGTCCTTGAGGGCCGGTATCCTGCAAGTCTTTGCTCCAACACATCTGATTCAGTGGTTGATTCACCTGTTCAGCAGCTCATCAAGCTCTGCAGAAGCCTGTCAATCACCTGCTAATTGAAATCAGGTGTGTTGAAGCAGGGTTGAAACTAAAATATGCTGGATATGTCATGGTCTGTGTCTGCGTCTCACCTCATGTGTCTCCTTTTGCCCTCATTCGTCTCTAGGTGCTCCTAGGACTTCCCTCTCCCAGGTCCTGTGCTCTCTTGGTCCCCTCTTAGCCACGCCCCTGTAGTTTCTTTCTGTAGTATTTCCTTTTGTGTCACCTTCCCCTTAGAATATTAGTTATGGTTCATGCCTTCTGGTCTTTTGTTTTTCTCTTAGGTCATTTTTCTTTGTTACAGCCTTTCAGTATTTAGTGTGTTTTTTCCCACCAGTGTTTTCTTCCTCCTCCCTGATTTAGTAATTGTGTTCACCTGGCCCCTCTCCCAACACACCTGCAATTCATCTCCTTCTCATCTTCCCAGTCTATATAAGCCCTGTCTTGTCTCTGTGTGGTTGTCGGTCCATTGTGTTTCTGTCAGCGTTTCTTCGTGCGCTGTCTGAGCTTTTCGTCTCTAGGTCTTCGTGCTCTTAGTTAGCTTCTTGTCTCTAGGGTTTTGGGTGCTCTAAGAGAGCTTTGGGTGTCCTGTGCTCCAGGACTTTTGGACTTTGGCTTGCTGCCTTGGATTAATTTTTATCCTGCAAATAAAAGGATTTTTACTTT